TTATAACATGATCGTAAATACATATGTATTTGAAAGTGACATTAAGTACAATAATTGATATATAAAGTTGATTGAGTAATGTAATACAAAACAATAATTGGAATTCAGTCAGTCAGTCCTTCCTTCCTTGTATGAACAAATTATTAAATTAATTCAAATAACATTTTTGAAATTTAACACACAGTTTCTTCTTAAGATAGGTACAGTTTTCCATTTTAATCAGAAATTTGATACCCGTAGAAATTAAACTCGTATAATTATTAAAATAATGGGTTTCTTGTACGTAAATAAAATAATTTATATTATTTAATATGTAATTAACATAAAGTTGACCCACCTAATTACGATGTTGAACACTACTAGTTGGGGGAAGTGGGTAAGCAAATTATTATTCGCATATAAACTCAAACAAGTATCATATCAAAGTCATATTTCCAGCAAATTAAATCTCACACAAAATATATATATATATATTACAAATTTTTATTTTCTTTTTGTAATGTGATTTTCTCTCTACATGTGTGTCTACGAGACTAGCCAATTTCTACAAGAGAGGGTTATACACAATTCAATCATCATCATTCTAGTTTTAGTTTTAATTATGATGTTTTAATTTATTAATGGCGGTTCAAGTGCCAATTAATGGCAGCACATAATTATTTATGATAAACTAAGAAGCCTAATATAATATATATATATATATATATATATAGAAAATAGTTTTTTATTTTCGAAAAAAAAGCGACAAGGCAAAAAGCCGGCTAAGAGTTGCCGACTGATTTCTCACGGCATCATTCCAAACCCCCACTTACCTTATGATTTTATGACTTCTTATTCAAATATTCATATATATTTTTTTTGTAATAAAATTTAGCCAAATCATGTATTAAAAATTAAAATAAATTATATAATATATATATATATATATTTAAACACCAAAGTTGCCTCTTGCCTTCCCTCCCTTTTTAGGGTTAATTAATTTAAGTTTATATACACTAGTAAATTATATAAAAGATTAATAAATTAAAACAAAGGAAATGGTGGAGTGGAAATAGCCACTGTGAGTAGTGGAAGAAGTAGAGAGTTGCAGGGGGAAGTGGGTCCCACATAAAACTTAATTCTGGCACGGAGAAGATCCGTGATTTACGGGCACACCCACCATGATGCGTGCAAGAGTTCTTTTCTCATATATTATTGTAACCATTTTATATAAATATTATATTTTTAAATACGGAACAGACAATGTCCTCCCCCAAAATAAATAAATAAATAATTATTGAATTGTTATATTTTTAATTCCCATTATAATTTAATTAGATAATAAAAATCGTAATTATCCACTTTGAAAATGAAATTCATTTGGCTTAATTAGATTACTAGAATAAAGCAAAGCATGCGGGATTTATTTTATTTTTTTTTTAAAAAAAAAATTAAGTAAAAGACTTAATTGTGGCAGCTGAGTAAGAGCCGATTACAACTATATTTCACATAACATGATACATATTTATTTATAAATAATAATAATAATAATAATGTCTGATGGGTAAGTTAGAAAAAAGTTAGGGTGGCATCTGCAAGTAAGGAAAAAAAAGGAATAGATTATTTATTTATTTATTTTGGCATCTAAGTATTTTAGTGGGTGTCCCCAAGATGGATGTGTATTTGGAGATAAGACTTTTGTCACTAAATAAAATCACCACAATACAAATTAATAAAAATTGGTGCACGCCACACACTCACTCCCAAAATTATTTTATTTTATATATTGTGATTGTTTTATGTGAATACATTTTTACAATTGTTGTGTAAGGATATGGATACTCCAATTTTATATTGCATATAACCCTTCCTTACTATTATTCTTCTTCTTCTTTCAAAGGATTGTTTATAATTCACTAAATTTATAATAATTGATAATTAATTATTTATTAAAATTTAAGGTTTTAAGTCGTTCATTTAATAATAATAATAAAAGTTATAAAATTTAAAAATAAAAATAATTTATGTACACACAATAATTATAACAATAGAAAACAATATATTATTTGCAAATAAAATAATTATTAGTTTAAATTTTATTTTAGATTTGTTGTTGACAATATTATTATTTTTTAGACACTTGTTTTTGTGCAACTATCTGAAATTCTTTACTAAAATTAAGATCAAATTATTGCATAAAACAATACTTTTGTATATTACAATTTCCTAAAATTTTGATAAAATTTAATCTTAATTTAATAATATTTACAAAATATCTTCCTTTCTTTTTTTTTTTTTTCCCCCAAAGAACAAAAGAAAAGAAGAACCATCCATGAAATTGCTCAATTCAACTCGGCAAATGACAAGTCACATGCGAAGAAGATGAAGACGAGTGGTGAAGCGGTGGAACGGGAATCCTTGGAAACAATTTAAATGCCGAATCCATAAAAGAAAAAAGGGAAACCAAAGCACGGAAGAAAAAATGAAAAGAAAAGGAAAAAAAGATTTGAAGATCTCAGCCATGAAGGGGACTGGTTTTTGATTGTGACTAAACAAATCTTCGTTGTAAATGGACCCATATCAAAATTTCTCACTATGATTCTATTCTTGGAAGAGTATTCCTCGCGGTGAAACTGTGAGTGAGGTCCACAGGTGGAGTTCAAGAAAAAAAAAAAAAAAAAAAAAGGTTACCCACCATATGTTCGATTAATTGCCTCAATGAAAATGTGATTAGTTTTTAATTTTTCAGAAAGACTCTCGCTTTCTTGTTAAAAAATATTGATTATAAATGGACCCATGTCAGAATTTCTCACCATGGTTTTATTCTTGGAACTGTTGTAGGTGTAAAAAAATAAAGACGGTTGAAGGTGATTGAGCAGAGAGTACCCACCATATGTTCGATTAATTGCCTCAATGACAATGTGATTAGTTTTTTTTTTTTATTTTTCAGAAAGACTCTGGCTTTCTTGTTAAAAAATATTGATTATAAATGGACCCATGTCAGAATTTCTCACCATGATTCTATTATTGGAACTGTTGTAGTTGCGGTGAAACTGTGCGTAAGGTCCATGGATGGAACGTGATGCAGCAGAGAGCACCCACCATGTGTTCGATTAATTGCCTGAACGAGATATGGTTAGTCTTTTCTTGTTCAAAAAAACTCTGGCTTTCTTCCATATTGGTTTTTCCAATGTGAGCATTGAATGTGACTTCCATTTCTTGTCGGTTTTCATTTGCTGCGTGTGATTATTTATTATTATTATTGTATAATTATGGTCCATCACCCCCACCTAGTAGGCTGTATGAGCAGAGGGCAGTACTTGTTTGCATGTTCAAATGGTCCCGACTTTGTCTGCTAATCCCAGCATTGCTCATTCACAACATCATTCTTCTAACATTTTCTTCCACGTACCTCAATTGTTTTTACATCAAATAATCGGTGGATTCCTCATGGTACAAATGAATGCTTAGCCGTGTAAATTACTATACAAAGCAAAAGCATCTAGACTTGGCTATATTCTTACTTTTTGAAAAGGAAGACTTGCTTGGTAGAATAATTATCTTTTTATTATTTTAAATCCAACCATAATAGCATGAAATTATGGGGAATTATCTCAAAGACTCTCATTTCCTAGCTTAGTTTTTCCTGTTCTTTTAAGATTATTTTTTTTTTCGGATATTAATTTATTATAATTATCTCAATTACGGAAACTTAATCATCTTTGGAATGTTTTTTTTGTCTGAATCATAATAAATGGCTAAGGCGAAAGTTAATTTTTTAATAACAGATCTACCGATTCACTAATAAATTAAATAATAGTTTTACTGAATCAAGTGTTGTGAGTCGGTCACAGTAAATTCATAATACACATATAAAGTGGTGAGATCTATATATTCAGTAAAATTTGAATTCGTGACTCTAAAGTAAAGTACTAGAATTTTAATAACTAGAGTATTATGTTAGACGACTGAATTTTCTGAACTTAGTTATGGGTTAGTCTGAAAGTAACCTTATATTGAGTTTTTTTTTTATTACTATATAATAGTATTTAATTATTGCATTTTATTAAATTAAATAAATACAAATGAATTTAGGATTAATTTATTCATTTATTTTGTTGGTTGCAACTTAGAAATCCCAACATTTGCTTCCAATATAATTAGAAATTGGAATGTAATTGTTAGTGGGTGTTGAAATTCCACTTTGATTTCTCCCTTCTATGCAAAGTTTTGAGTGGGTTTTCTTGTTTCTTGTTCAACTTTATCTTTTTTTTCCCCAAGTCAGAACAAACTTTATTGCCTTGGAATCAAAGCCTTTGGTCTCAAGTGGTCATATTTATGAAAAGTGCCTTACAGCAATTTGTTTGGTAGGAAAGAAAAATAAGCAGCGTTTCTATCACAATGATCCCATTCCACCAAATAATAAACAATTAATTTGTTGGCAAATTACCCTTTCCATGTAATGTAATTACAACCAACATAAGAAATAGGGTTAGGGAAGGTATTGTTCTTTTTATTTTGTTGTTATTCATACATATAGCTAAACTTTCCACCTTTAATATTCAAGTGGGTTATTTTAGTTGACAAGAAGATCTGTATTTTACTTCTTTGATAAATTTAGTTTGGTTCTTAGGTTTCATTTGAGACATTATTTGACTTTGATTTTTAAATTTCAAAAAATATTTTAACAATCAAACGTGTTATCTTTAGCAAAAGCTAAATCTAAAATATACTTTTAATAAGTTTAAACACAAATGTTATTTAAAGAATTATTTTGATTTTTAATAAAAATTTACATTTTAAAATTTTAAAGTCATTTTCATTAAGTACATAATTTTTTTTTTTGAAGTGATAGTAATTTTTACAATTATTTCTATAAAACGCTAAATAATTTTTTGACTAAAAGAAATTTTTGATAAATAATTATTTTAACATTTTAAAACTTATAATAGAAACTACAATTGTTTCAAATGTCAACTTATTGTAGTATTCAAAAAATAAAAATTTATGTCAATTTTAAAAAAATAACTTTTGAAAACATTCTATCAAAAGAATTTATTCATAAATTCAACCTAAAATTGATAATTTTTTTAAATGTCTTGAAATGATCTAAATAACCTGATATCAATAATAATAAGCAATGGCCATGAGATTGTTCTTAGAGGGACAATTTATTGCTCAAGTTAACAGTTTGGAATGAAGTTTGATATAATTTTAATAGGAGTAGAATATTTAACGTTTACTTGATCTTGAATTGCCGTTTCATTTGGATCGAATTGTCTGTTAGTGTCCACTGAAATAGAATATAGTAAAGATATTAAAGTATAATAATGTTATTAGTGGGATTTATAATGGATAGTGTTTCTTTGATCGAATTTTGCATATATTGATGAGGTGTTATGTCATCTTATATGTCATACCTAAGTGACTAAGTCGAACTCGATAGTGAACTAAATGTATAATATGTCCCAATTTTATAACATATAATATGATTTTAGTAAATTAAACTATATTCTAACTAACATTTTCAAGTTCTATAAATATCATTCTCAATAAGGTTTTATTCCCCACAACATTGAAATCCATCAATAATATACCCTTTTTTTGTTCCTTTAACATGATTAAACTCAAGAAAACATGTAAAATGTTATTCCCATTTGTAATTTTAATACAGTGCAATAGAACATGTTTATAATACTATACTATTTGTTTATCATTTTGTTATTGTTTTAATTTTTTTTTTTAATTCTGACTATAGAAAACCTTCATCGCCAGACGATTAAACTAGTGGTATCATCAATTGAGGGTTGTCTACTTTTTATTATCGACATCCATCTGCAAGGGAGAATGATCCAAAATGAGGTCTTAAATCGAACTCGATCATGAGCATCACAATGTGATGCAAGAGCAAAATTTTACAAAAATATGAAATTTAAAATATTTAAATTTGTCATCGATATTATTAAAAGTTGTAATGTATCTTTAGTAATTATAATTAGCATGTATTATTTGTTTATTTATTTATCCTCCAATGTATTATTGTCCTCGTAGTGATGGTGATGTGTCTCATCCATTTTATCTTTCATTTTTTCTTTAATTAAATTATGTACAAATCAAAAAGTGTGGAAACCAAAATAAAAAATAGACTTAAAATCTAAAAAGAAAATCACAACGTAATTGTCGATTCAAAGACTCTTTCTTAACGCCTCACCTTTTTGTTAGTGTAATCGCAATACATTTTTTTACATGGTGGAATTTGCTTTTATGTGTATTTTCTTTAGTCATCACACATAATAAATCTATCACTGTTACAATCGCCTAAGCTATCATGCAAACGACATCTCAGTCGATTTGGACAATGCATTAAATTAAGCTTCACATTTTTAGCTTGAACAGTAAAAAAAAAATTATCACATAAACGTAAGAGTTAAAAAAAATGGCAACCCATTTTAAATTTCAAGTATGAACAGCAAACCCATTTGACAAATAGGTTACTATCAAGCATGAAACAGTAAAAAAAATTGACATCAATCAAAATTAAACATTAACCTATAAACCTAAATACTAACTACGAACCATGAATCATCAAAAATTTTTCCTATCCTAAAAAGATCTTTTAACCCATTTCAAATTTCAAATAATTAGCTAATCTTAGCATGCCCAATGAAAAAAAAAAAACAACTCACTTCAATATATCATGTGTCTTTCACAATGAACACTATGATTCAGTGTCTTATTTGACAAATGAAAGCCCTACAGAACTGTATAACAATAATTACGTGTATCATATCGAGGTAAGGGAACTGAATACAATTCATATAATCCTTCTCTCAGTCCAAAAAAGAACAAACCATTTGATTCAATCCATGAAGATAAAAGCCATATTAGAATAATAAAGGAAAAATGAAAAGAATAATCGTAAGTTTCAAAAGAACGTTTTTCTTCATCCACAAAATCAAAAGCTCCCAAACAAGTAAAGACAAAACACAGGCTTAAATTTACAGACTTAAAATTTAATCTTTTTACTTTCAGCCTCGTATTCTCTGTTCCTTTTACTCTCTTCTAGATCCTTCCTTCATATGCGTCGAGTCTCTTTCTCTTTTGCCTTCATGTACTCCTCTGCCACCATCTGCAGATGGAAGAAGACAAAAAAAACGAAAATAAATGCGAAAGTGAAAATCTTACGATCTATTTTTAGAGATACGCTAAAATAGCGTCGTTTTAGACCAATAAGGATCCAGCCTAAACGACGCCATATTAGGCTGTTTAATTGGCTTAGGTTCCATTACTAAAACAACATCGTTTTAATAGGAATTTTAATTAAAACGACGTCGTTTACTCAGATTGCTAGTCTTTTTTTTGGGCTAGATGAGAATAATACAAAAATAGGTATAGACATTTTGGGTCCAAGCCTGATCTTTTTTTTTTACCCCATTTTTCTCTGTTTCTTGTTTTTGTTAAAAAAATTTTCTGTTTGTATTTGTTATTTTTCTCACTTCATGTCATAAAAAAGAGTGCGATAATAGTAATAATAATATTATATTTATTATCATAATAATATTAATAACGATGATAATGGTGATGATAATAATAATAATACTAATAATAAGCCATTGGATTCCTTGCAATTGTGAACTAATTTAATTTTTGTAATTATTTTTACCTAAATTTATCATTTATTTTATTTATTTTTTTTTCTTATTAGTATTAATTATTATTATTTTTTTATTTTGGCTGAATAAAATTGGAGTATGACAACTGTCTCTCTTTACTTGAACTTTTGTAAAAAGATGAGGGTAAAAACTAGAACTAATTTTATTTTATTTAAAAAATACATATATGACAATGTTAAATGTTTTTTTTATTACCAAATGTGAAGTTTTGTTAGTTTTTACTGTGCATTTTCTTTATAGCCTATTCATATGAAATCAAAATTGATTTGACCTTTTGCTATACATTCCATTCATAGTTTACTCATGCAAAAATTTTTATTGAATTTTCACTGTACATCTCATTCATAATATGTTCATGCAAAATTGTAATTAAAGTAAGTTTTATTATACATCTCACTCACAACCTATTCATGAAATTAAAATTAATTTGAGTTTTTATTGTGCATCTCCTTTATAGTTTATTCATGTGAAATCAAAATTAATTTGAATTTTTACTATGTATCACATTCATAGTGTACTCATGTGAAATTGAGATTGTATTGAATTTTTATTGTACTTCTCATTCACAATCTGCTCATGCAACTTAAAATTAATTTGATTTTTATTATATATCTCACTCCTGACATATTCATGAAATCAAAATTATGTCACATTCATAACCTACTCATGCATCTTAAATTCTTCACAACCCATTTTATGAAGAGCCATGCTTTTATTTCATGGATCACTTTGACTCAAAGGTTGTTATAGATTTCTTTCACAAATCATTCAATGACAAATGTAGAGTGATACACATCTCATTTATAAATCATTCTCCTGAAATGATTTCTGCATCTCTTTTGTGAATTGCTTAATGTAGTTGTGCATTTCCCTCACACAATGCTTCCTAAATTCTAAATAATGTACATATCATTCATAGCTCATTTTGTGTTAAATTTTTACTGTACATTTTATTCACAGTGTACCATGTATTTTTGAATACTTTACGTATCCTTCACAATAACCTATTTTGTTAAGATATTACACTTCTCCTATGTAAATCGACCAATTGAAGTGAACTAGGAAGTGTTAGGCATCTCCTTCATAAATCATTCTCCTGAAATGATTCATGCATCTCCTTCGTGAATTGCTTAATATAGTTATGCATTTTCCTCACAACATGCTTCCTAAATTCCAAATGTTATGCATATCCTTCATAACCCATTAAGCTTTTACTATGCATTTTATTCATAGCCTACCATTTATTTTTGAATATTGTGTGTATCCTTCACAACCTACGTGTAAGAAGTTACATTCCTCTATAGATTGATCAATTCAAGTAAAATAGGGAGTATTGTGCATCTCCTCCACAACTTGCCCCATGTAATAAGAGCGTCACTTATCTCATTTGTAGTTCACTCCAAGAAAAGTTAAAGAGTGATGTTCATTTTCTTCATAACTTTTTTTTTTGTGTGAATTTGAATTATGGTGAGTCATGCAAAATGCTCTTAAGTATGTTTGATTGTTTTTCGTTTTGTTGTTTTTCTTGTTTCCTTTTGTTTTATAATTTTTTAAACTTTTTTCATTCTTTCATTTTTACTTCTTCTCTTTTTAGGGTACAAATTAATAATTATAGAGAATTTTATAAATTTTAAAAAATGAATCATTTTCTGCCATTTTTTGTTTTTTAATTTTGAACTTTTTTCTTTTTGTAAAAACCATGAAAGCTCAATCAAACATATTCAATTAACGAAAAACTTTTACTTTAAAATTTGTCTTTAGCAAACCCAAATTATTGAAAAGATCACAAGATTTCTAAAGAGGGCTTTCTTGAGACTCAGAAAAAAATAAGAATTTTGCTAGATGTCATATTTCTCATAATGTATTTATCTGCCCCTCAATACTTATGAATTTTCAATAGATTATGTCTAAGTAAAAGAAACTCATTTATCTTAATCGCTTTTTCTAGTCTCTATTAATAATTTGCCCCAACATTTGCTCTTTTTCAAGTTTTATATGCCTCAGTATTTGCTTATTCTTTATATGTATGCACAT